GTGACGTTGATCTGTGGGAATTCCCTCGGCAGATAAAACGGCCTCAAAGACACAGAGAGGAGCTCAATGTCAGACAGACACACTTGTTTACGAACTGTAACGTTTTTACACCATTTCTTATTTATATACAAACATACCCCTCTTCCATTTTTCCACTTATTTACTAATCTTATCTGAACTATGACAAATATACAGGCAAAGTGTTTGCTTTTGCCTGTATAGCTGTCATAGCTTCATCATTCTCATCATTCTCTTAGGGCATCTCCTAATCAGAAGATTGGTGGTTTGATCCCTGGCTACTCCAGTCTGTATGCCAAGTATCCTAAGATATCCACGATACTAATCCCAAGCTGCTCTCCGATGTGTGTGAATGTTAGATAGGACAAAAAGTGAGGAAAGTTGCATAAAGCACATTAAGTGCTCAGATAGAGTAGAAAAGCAGAACCAGTCCATTTATAGCTTTGTAGCTACCCTGACATTTAATACTGGATACCATACTCTCTTTTAATGGAATTCATCCTTTTAACCACTGATCAGACTTCAAGAATTTCTGTCTCCCTTTGCATTTGTAATAATTCTTCTTGTGACCTTTTATTTTGAGTAAGATTTATTTAAAAAAAAAAAGTTATTTCAGCTTTTAATTGCTTTTAATTACTTTATCACATTCCTTTGTCCACCTGGGTACAATCTTCTTTTTGCTCTCACTTCAATTCAATTCAATTGACTTCCTTCTTTATAGTCAGCTTGCTGCTTGTAGAACACCATTATAAACATTCATATCAACTATTTTGCATTTCCTGGCCACTAAAAAGCCTGAGTGTCCCCCAATCTGCAGAAATGAAACACCACTTCTGCGCACCCCCTGTATCATACTCCTCTACACTCAGTTCGATCTCAGTTATTACAGGATGGTGGTTACTGATCTGAGATCCCTGTGTTGGTTTTGTTCTGCCATTATTATAATAACGTTGGTCCAGGATTGATGTGATGTCATGGCTTTGCAAGGTGAGGAAATTTTTTAAAAAGATAAAACAGCATTTGTTTCTGTAAAACTGTTAAGCATTTTGGGTATTTCTTTATTAATTTATGCAGCATCTTAAATATGCTATCAAGCTGTTAGCCAAATTTCCATTATTCATGTTGGTTTACTAGTGGGGTTTTTTTGTTTTTGTTTTTTTTTGCTAATGCTAACTGGATGCTCAGACAATTTCACAGGTCAGTTGTTCCCCTCCTCAGTTGTGTCCTTCAACATAAGTACACCCTCAGTAGAGAGTGTATTTTACTCACAATACACACTCTGCTGAGAGACGCCTACCTCAGGCTGTTCAGATCTGGGTGTTTACCGTAACATCTCAGGGCCCAGATGGGTTTTTTTTCTCCTCATCTAGCCATAGACTGCAGTGCTCAGCAGTCCCTCAAATTTCCCTGAGGGTGTTTAGGAAGTGTGTCTGTGGTTGTAGTGATGAAACCCAGCAGTCACCATCCACTGGGCAAACTGCTGCTCTCCAGATTTCCTGTTCTGCCTTCAGCTCGGTATATCGCAGCCTCTTCCTCTCACTGACGTCTTCCTTTGATACTGTAGTAGTAGTACAGAGAGAGGTGGACCAAAGTACCAGACTGGTCTTAGGATGAATAGAAATGTACTACTTTGGCACTTTTGTTTCTGGTCCAGGTTTCAATTATGATATTTTGTCATATTTGTCATATTTTGTTATTTTACCAAAGTAAATGCAATCGTACATTTACACTAATCAAAATTCAAGACAAAGTGATGTATTTCCTTGAAATTTTTACTCAAAAAACATACACAGCACAGGGTATTGACTATAAATTACTACCCAGGTGTATGCAAAGTCACCTACCACTGGGACACAAACTTAAACACAAGAGCAGCAGGTTTAAGTCAGAGAAATATCACAAACTAACCACCTATTACTAGTTTTAATTCACTTTTTGCATAAATAAATACATTTCTTAAAATATGGGAGCCATACATATTCCCTTGTGAGTAATTTCAAAAGTTCATCTTTATTATTTTTTTCTCCAATGTCTGTTGCGGGGCTCCGTATTTCCGGACTATACTACCTCTGTCTGAACTGTTTTCTTCTAAACTGGGGCACTGTGCCCCCACCCAGTGTTGCCAATTTAGCGACTTTGTCGCTATATTTAGCGAGTTTTCAGACCCCTTAGTGACGTGAAAAGACGTGAAAGCGCGTAAAGTCGGATTCCAGTTTTTTTTCCTCTCGGAATTTTAATTTGAAACCTCGCAAACGTCGGAGCAGCTTCACAATCCCAGAGTTAACCATTCAGAACACTGATAGCTTTTCAGCATGAACGCCCACACTAAACGAAGAGCAACGTTTAAGCTAACTTTCACTACAGAATTTTAAAGGGTTACTGTTATTTAAAAAATAATTGCTTCACCCGCTATATAAGGCAGAATGTTAGCCTGTGATATCATGGTTTCTGTGTTCCTCGTATTTGGTAAGTCAAACAGCAGCTCCATGTTTGCAGCACGTCTTTTATGTAAAGCTAACCTTAGCTTAGCTTGTAGCCTGTGTGGAGGATGCTTATCACTGCGTCCTAATCCTGTGCTTGCCTGCAGCATGTCGCGCTGCCTCCGTGGTTTCTGCGGTGTCTTGTCACACAAAGGAGTATGCAACAAGGGATGGGCAGTGCTGCCCGATGTGCCAAGAAGGTACGATAAGAAAACATTTCTAGAAGTAAACCCGCCCACATTATGTGAGTTCCCACTGTGAGAACAAAGAGTAAATAAAGAGCCGTCTATCTTATTTGATGTTACAGCTGCTTCTTTTATCTCACAATTCTTTAAGTTAATAAACCAGAAAATCTGCTGACTCTTTTTTTTAAATCATTTTTTCCCCTGAAACTGTCAACTAACCTTCATTAATAGTTAGAATTGACACAGTTCAGATAATAGCTTTCAGGAAACATCACAAGTATTGTAAATAAATTGTAACTGTTTGTCTGAGGGGGCAGCACACAAACAAGTTGCACGTTCAGATGAGATAAACCTTTTTTTCATACCTTCCGTCCACCTCGACTCAGTTCATCTTACACATACTGAAACGTCATTTCATATGATCAGATGTGTTGAGCATGTGCCTCTACAGCACTGCTGGCACAGGGTGAAGTAATGCAAGGCTTTGTGGCACACTATAACCATTTCAAATGTACCAGAGCTGTAGAGGTTTAAAAACAACTTGATCCCCATATTCACAGTTCAATTCACATGTTATTTATATAGCGCCAAATCACAACTACAGTCGCCTCAAGGCAGTTTATACTGTAAGGTAGACCCTACAGTAATACATACAAGAGACACCCAATGACCTCTTTTGGTATTGTCACATCTTGAAACTGCTACTGTGTGAAAAATAATGATGCACACAAGGATTGTACAGTTCTAAACAAGGCAATTTCTTATACCCATCTATTAGTACCTGAAAAAAGTTGATTCTTTTCATCTGCACGTACATTTGAATCAGTGATATAACATTTCTCTATCTATCAACAATTAGTTCTTCATAATGCCCAAAAGATGACTAGGTAAGCTACTAGTCTGTGTTATCTTGTTGTTGTAATAATTATGTGAAATATGCAGATGGTTCACAGAGCAGAGGCTCCTCCACTATCAGAAAAAGTTGTAAGTGGTGCATACTATTATCTGCTCCACAGCACTCATCCACACAGGCTTGTATTTTGCAATAATTGCGCACACCAATTGTTCTTGAAATATAAAAAATTTAGTAATATATAGTAGGAGTACAGAGGAAACTATTATATTCTGGCAGTTATTTTGCCAGTACCAGCTGGTGGTTGCTTAGTAATTTTACACAGTCTATTGTGGTGTTTAAAGTTTTCTAAAATGTGTGTCTAAAAAGATTCACCCCAGATTTAATACACTGTGCATTCACTGTGCGTTTGTGTTCTTGACCTTTAATGTGGCTTTAATGTTCACATAAATGTTGTGCTGTGTTGAACAGGTACAGTTGTTCAGAGAGACTGCACAGCATATTCAGGAACTCGGTGCCGTTCCTGTGACCTGGGGACTTTCATGAACCAACTCAATGGTCTGTCTAACTGTTTCCCCTGCACTACCTGTGATACAGGTACAGATGGAAACTTCTTAGTCAAATTTTAATTTAAAAAATAAAAAGGTTTTCAAATTGCACCGATATTTTTTTTTTAGGTCATGGTCTCTTTGTCAAGCGGAACTGTACAGCAAAAACTGACACAGTGTGTGACGTTTTAAATGGATATTACTGCAAACGTTTGATTGACAGTAATGGATGTAGTTTGGCAGAGAAACATTCACAGTGTGAAGCTGGTCAGAGGATAAAAGAATCTGGTAAGAAAAGTTTTTTTAGATGAGCTGATAAATTAGGATTTTTTTTGTGTAACAATGAATGTGTTTCTTTCAGGAACCAGCAGAAGTGACACAGTGTGTGAAGACTGTCAGCCAGGCTTCTTTTCCAAAGACGGTGTGAAGTGCACTGCTTGGAAAACGTAGGTCATAATTTATAACAAAATCACTCTAAGTTTATTTTATTTTCAGTTATTGATCATCAATTTCTTAATGGAATCTCTCATATACTTCGCACTAGGGCTGTGCCACATCATATCATCTGCAATAATATCGGTATTACACTATACACCGTGTGTCGCTATAGCAAGAATATGTGTTTGTATCCTAGTGTTTATGACAAGGAGTCAAAACCATGCATGTCTGAATGTAAGAGCAGTGTGCAACTAAAAATGGAGCTACTTCAGCAGCTTCCAGTGAACACAGGACGAAAACATGCAGGAAAACTGTTTGGAAAAAAGTGAAAACAACAAACTGGTAGAAGAGGGTAAAAACACACCTTTGAGTAGAACGAGACACATGGGACATGAGCAGTCACTAGCTGCACTCGCTAGTTATCCTCTATATAACAGGAGGAGCAAACAGTGGATGGAAATTAGTGATGCAGTTACATGATGGAAAAGCAGGACTTTAAGCATACACTTTAAGCATAGACTGACCAAGGCATAAAATATTTTTTACGTTTATATTTTTTAATATTAATATATGACAATATTGTGCAACTCCTAACATTTTACAAGAGTAAGGTCATTTAGTTATTGTCAAACTCAAGTTTTAAAATTTATTTTATACTTTGACTTGAAAATTCCAGGGAAAATAGAATAGAATAGAATAGAATTCAACTTTATTGTCATTGCACATGCACAGGTACAGGGCAACGAAATGCAGTTTGCATCCATCCAGAAGTGCTTTAGTGATATAGATATATTACAATAATATATTAGCAATAATATAGATATGTGAGTATATTACAGAAATGGTATAGGTATGTTATAAGCACGGTATGAAGTATGTTGTGAATATTCTATAACTATAAGTATGTACAGGCTATGAACAGGATATAAATATGAAAAACTATACAGAATATGAAATAAATAACTTTACAGAAATCTGAGATATACAGCTATACAGAAATGGGAACTATGCAAGTTGTAAAAGTTGTAGGGTTAAAAATTATCGTATGTACAGAATGATTATTTACACAGAGCTATACAGTAGTGCAGTTAAGATAAGTGAGATATTGAAATTCTACAGAGGCTATATAAAGTGCTAGTGGTTGTGAGTGGTGGTTCAGTCCATGTTATTATTGTGTGTTTGAGGGTACAGTTGTCCATTGTGGGTGTGTGTATGTTCAGTCCATGAGTTTAACGTGGGTCAGATGTCAGGAGGCAGAGTTCAGGAGTCTGACAGCTGTGGGGAAGAAGCTGTTCCGGTACCTGGTGGTCTTAGTCCGGAGGCTCCTGTAGCGCCTCCCAGAGGGCAGGAGGGTGAAGAGTCCATGTGATGGGTGACTGGGGTCTTTGATGATTTTCCCAGCCCTTTTCAGACACCGCTTCCTGTAGATGTCTTTTATGGCAGGAAGTGGTGCTCCGGCGATGCGCTGGGCAGTTTTCACGACCCTCTGCAACGCCTTCCGGTCCGAGGCAGAGCAGTTCCCGTACCAGACTGTTATACAGTTGGTCAGGATGCTCTCGATGGTGCAGCGATAGAAGTTCACCAGGATGTCTGAGGACAGGTGGTTCTTCCTCAGAGTCCTCAAGAAGAAGAGGCGCTGGTGAGCCTTCTTGACCAGCTTGGAGCAGTTGGTCGTCCAGGTGAGATCCTCGGAGATGTGGACTCCCAGGAACTTGAAGCTGCTCACACGCTCCACAGCCGTCCCCTTAATGTGGATGGGTGGATGTGGGTCAGCATTCCTCCTGTAGTCCACGATGAGCTCCTTGGTCTTCTCGGTGTTAAGCAGCAGGTTGTTTGTGTCGCACCACTCAGCCAGACGATCCACCTCCTCCCTGTAGGCGGCCTCATCGTTGTCACTGATGAGGCCAATCACCGTGGTGTCATCTGCAAACTTAATGATGGTGTTGGAACCATCAGCAGGTCTGCAGTCGTGGGTGAAGAGGGAGTAGATACTACCTAGGCTACTTTTGTGCTTACATTTTCTTTCATTAGATTCAAATTTCAGTTTAAGTAGTCTGACATTGGTGAGACTAGCTCTCTGGAAAAGGATGCTTCATCTACTTACAGTTATTAATGCTGCTGCCTGTGAGCATTTAAAAAACATACAGTATTTTTTTCTATATCTTCATATCTCAGTTGTCATATATTACTCACCTCCACACAGGACTTTGGGAATTGCCCTCCTTTAGTAACCTGAGGACCAGTGATTCAGCTGATTGAACAGAAAATTATCCAACTTTTATTTTAAAAATGTTGTAATGGTACAAGAAAAACTTTGAATTTGATTAAAATAAAGTTTTGAATAGTTTAAACTACAGTCATAGATTATTAGAGATTCATTAATAATAACATGGTGGTGTCTCAGTTACTGTGTATTGAAGATAAACACGAGTACCTCTGGAAACCTCTGCATGTGTCCCGTTCTGTCTGTAAACATGATAGCTTGAAAGGTTTTGAATGAATTCTGATAAAACCTTGTTGGAGTGTAGAACTGAAAAAAATCCTCATGACTTAAGAGTGTATAATTCTTACAAACATTGTGTGTACTATCAACACATAGAAAGCACCATATGTAATGGTGTAAAACAGCATGTCACATTTGACCTCTGACCTCTCCTTCAATAGATCGAGACAGATGACAGCACAGTTGAGGCATCAGTTAATCCTGATGGCCACATTAGGACACATAAACATGAGCTCTGCTTTATCACAAACATCTTGTTTTTAGAGTGAAAAAACAAGATGCTTGTCAGCAGGAATACTAACTGTAGTCCATGTACTTGTACTATGCGCTTTACAGATTTCAGTACACTGATGTCAGGCTCATAAAATAAAATAATAATTAACTTAGAGCATAAAAGTTAGAACTACTGATGTAATATTCAGACTTGCAAAATTACTTCAGTTTTTCATCAACATTTGACAGGATATCAAAATATTATAACAATTTACATAAAATTATTATCTTGATAATTCTCTGTGGTGGGCAGCACGGTGGCACGGTGGTTA